TGCGTATATTATAGGTAATCAACAAAATGCCGCTTAGAAAGTTCCGTAAATAAGAGTACTTCCGGAGATTGGATTTTCCCAAAATAGTTTTAATTTTTTCCTGACTTTAATTGTAGTGAGATGTCAAAATAAGTTGCACATTTTTATTGCCGGTTATTCTCCTCTACAAGATGGCATAATTAGAATTTCAATACCAAGAAAAAATAAAGTTGATGCTGGAGGACAAGAGACGAAACGTCATATTAAAATTCTAATTATGTCATCTTGTAGAGGAGAAAAATTTTAAACACCGTGCATACTACCGCCAAGCGATTGAGTATACTGTCCACTATGTCCTAAAACTCCAACCCCCAATTCTTGCGACCTAGGTTTTTCTTTGAAAATGATCAGAAAGTCCTTGAAACATCAGAAACCGAAGTTTTCAGTGATTTTGGGAGTGATTAAGGAGCAGCCGACAGACAGGCATACAGCAACCAAAAATCATAATATCTCAATTTCGAAATTTTTTATGATAACAGTACTTTTTCGTCAGTTGGCCTGGAAAGTAAAAATAGCCGATTTCATACAAACTTCCCAAAAACTTGTATGGTCACAATACTTTGAACATATGGAAATTTTAAACATTTCTATTAGTTCCGACCAAACATCAGTAAGTACCACGTTGATACATAATGCACACGATATGATGCTCATTTTGTATAAACAACTTTTTCTGGTTGATGATGTTTCTCTACCAAATATAACCAGACTGTTATGTTAATACCTACACGTTACACACGATACAGCTGTTTCAGTCGCTTCAACACGCGAGCAACGATCAACGGTTTTTGGAGCTCTCTTGTTATGGCTTTCAATTTCACTTTCTATGGGCGCTGAGGCTTTCTTTTCTGTTGTTAACATGTCATCGATGATAGTCGATCGTTTACGCAACACACAATTCGTGAGGAAATGTACACGAATTTCGAATGGCTAGACGGTGATATATCTGAAGTATGTGCAATGTTCGACGAAACATTATTTTTTCGGCCTGATATAGCACCTAAAGGGTGCATGCTGAGTCATATTGTGCCTTACTACTTCTGCAAATCTGATTCATTTGCAAAATATCACAGATTATTGGCGGTGATTTGGTCCTTTAAACAGGAACTTCAATAAATGTGTGGCCTACATATAAAAAATGTTGAGATACAGGTTTGTGGAGGTTTAAAAGAATGATTTTTTTATAGTATCAATGATGCAAATTTCATATTTGCATGGTACCATACATTAAAAAGGCATATCAAGATATCCAAGCAGACGCTGGATGGAATTGAAACAGATATCAACTCAGAAAAGGTCAAATAATAATAATCTGGATCTCGCCCGGTCACCTTTTGCTCTAATATTCAGAAAAGTTGTCAGTAACTCTTCATTAAATTTAGTTGTTTCCGAGTTATAAGCCATTTAATTTTTAAAAAACTTTGAGATGCTCATCTTCAGCGATTAAAAACTCGGTTCAGAATCATCATTTCTGGGGTTGTCAAGTATCTAAATTGAAGCTGAAACCTCCCCCCTACAAGACCCCGAGGAGCATCAAGATTAATTTCTTTTTCAGCGATTTTTAAGTTAGTTTGTTTGACCAAAGTTGACGATCTTTTGATTTTCGCAGACTATAAATATTGGGCGGGTGCTGGATGAAACTAACTTTGTAAAATGTGAGGACCACACTGATATCAAATGAGAAGAGGTCAAGGAATAATAATCCACATCTTGCGGACCTACTCTTTGATCCATTTTCTATTATGCCTCCCCCGTCTTAGGTATAAAGAAAATATGTGGAGTACATGCAATGGAGCGATTTGAATGGTTATTTTAATTAGCTTTTATTTTTATAGTTAAGTAAATAACAGGTTGTAGAATGAAGCAGCCAAACAAACATTGTTGCTAATGCTATAGTAATAAATAAAAAACAACAAACTTGATTCTTTACAACTACATGACATTTTTTTACAAAGGGATAAACATTGACATGGTTGGACCAATGACTAGCAAATTAGCTTCATTTTTAATACCTTTCAACCTCAGAAATATTGATTTATAACCTGAGTCTTATTCATTGAAGATGGGCATTTTTAAGGGTTTTCAGATATTAAAAGGTTTATATCTCGAAAACAACTAACTTAAGAAAAAGAATACGAAGGACCTTTCTTGCTTAGAATGATTTGAGAAACCAAGAAAAAATTGTCAGAGCGAAAAAACTTTTTTCTAACGATTTAAGAGAATTCAACTTAATTCAGTTCAAGAAAGATTTAATCAGAAAAATCGCATACAACGTGGCCTGGATACGGATTATTATTCTTTGACCTTTTTTCAGTTGATACCCGCTCATAAAGTAAGGACCTTACATTTTTCACACCCAATTCCATCCAGCCCCATGTCTAATATAGAAAGTTAAGTACATTAGGAACATTTGCTTACCTAAGCGATTTCAAGTGACATGTGGCTGAATAAGACAGCTTTTTTTCATAGTTATGATAACAAATATTTCTTTTTGGACGATATAAACCCTAATTCTTCAATTTTCTTATTTTTAGCGCACCTAATCATATTGTTTTTACAGTTGTTCAATGTTTTGACATTTGCGAGTCAGCCTAACCTCGCTTATACTATTTTATACACCATCTACGCCATTGTATACACTGTACACGTATCGTTTACACTGTCTGCGCACTGCATACATTGTCTACGCGTTGTCTGTATAGAAACTTAGACAAAGTATACGCGTAAACTCCCATCAGTGGAAGTACTCCAAGGGACAGTACTGAGACAAAGCCTTATACATAACTGGCCTAAATAAAATGGAAATATATTGAAATATTCATTTCATTGGTAACTACTCGCAAGCAATAATCAAAATCTTATAAACATAACTTAGTTTCTATTCATTTTGATTTCAACAAACTGGACTACACGACCAACTTCTGAGACTGATCGTCTGTGTTGTCTCGCTGATTCTTCTCAGACCCTCAGTTGAGGACTGGCAAAACAAATGACGCATAAAGGCTAATAAAACTTGATTACACATAAGTAAAAAAACCGGTCCTTCAGTAACTATCAACAATTTACATATCCCACATTTAGACAGAAAGCTTATTTTAAAAACGGAACAAATAGTAGCAAACTCAAAGAGGTGTTGATTATTGGTAGGATACCAACGACAGTTTGTTGCTGTAATATCCACAAGAAAACCAAAATCTCTAAGCCAGACTGAATTTTTCAGTTCCGGAAACGGTTTATAACGTCGTTTGAAAAATTCAACTATGGAAGATATGATATCAGTCAAACGTTTCAGCACTCGTCCCTTACTTAACCATCGGACTTTAGAGTGAAGAAGTAGTTCGCCGTATTGACAGTCAGTTTCATCGGCCTAGGTTTTTAATATTAATCTTCTTTACAATTTTTACTACCAATTTCATAACGTTGTTTAGTTTTGGAAAATGTCCACATAATGCTTGCTGATGTACAATGCAGTGGTATTTTAATCTTCACGACACAACCCACGAGACCCTTATCACGACCCACCATAGCTGGAGCGTCATCGGTTGTCAAGCCTACCATTTTCGATATTGGAATTTTCTCAGGAGAAATAATATTTTTCATAGAAGACAACAAGTCCTGCCCAGTAGTCTGTGCTTTTAGTGGAATAAACTTCAAACGATCTTCTTTAATCGTAAAATCACTAAAAACCATTCTGACGAACACGGCCATCTGAGAGGTGTCAACGACATCTGTGGATTCAGCCAGTTGCAGTGAGAAATAGGCACAATTATCGAAGTAATTTCTTAACTGTAAAACTATATCATTGCTCATTACTTATACTCGTTGCGTTGCGTATTTATTCCGTTCAAAGTAATCGAGATCGTTCTCGAACAGATCGCTCACCGCAGTGTTGTCGCTGCTTTGTTTATTATGAGAATTTACAAAATTTACTGAAGCTTCTATGATTTTAACACCTTTTTAAAATGTGCAGTGAGTCACCAGAATTGCCTTTGCAAGCTACTGGTAGCTCGCGATCGACGGGTTGCCGACCACTGGTCTAGAGAATGATCGTGGGTGCACTATACTACCTTTCCAATAAAGTGACATACCCCTCTCTACCATCTGATCCACGAGCTTGGTGTTCGATATAGTGAAAGGGTTATCACACCGATATGTCTAACAAAGAGCTAATCAATAGGTTAAAACCTAGATAATCTTAAGTGATAACACAATCAATCAGTTTGGTATTAGACTGAGATCACAGACTGGAGCTGTATCCTGCATGTCCTTTTTATTAGTTTCTATTAATCCGAAAAACATACTTTCAAATTCAAATTCGTTATTATCCTGAGAGACATTACAAATTATGGTACAGGATTCGTTAGAGAAAGAGCTATTAAGACAACACAAAATAAATATATTCAGGGTGTTAATAAAGTATGTAAACAAACTTCCATCGAATCCTTGATCAATTGGAAGACTAAATGTTCATATGAACGTGGGTCCGCAACGGCTTTCATTTCGAGCTAGAGCACTATCACTAAAGTAATACGAGTAATGTTCCAAATATTTCTATGAATAATGAAACGTATTTATTGAACAGTTGGTATAACTATGATAAATTTTGCATGTTTTACCAGTTGCTGAGGCTCAATATGAACGTGGATGAAAATAGCATTACCCTGTATTTTTGGAAAATAGGTGTCAAGATAAGCACATTATTCAAACCTTTTTTAAATATAGAGCTTCTCGATGTGGCAGTTAACGATCTTCGGTGCTTGGAGCCCTTATGGATTAAGATTACATATAAAAAATAAATTTTTGTTGTATGTGTATTATATCGACCTCCATCCCAGAGCCTTAATGACTGCATTGCTATACTAGATGACACGGTATCACACTACTAAAGCATTTTTCAAAACATTATTATATTGGGTGACGTTAATGTCAACAACCTGACAATCCCTTATCTTTATGTCTAGAGACCCATGGCTTTGCACAATTGGTTTCAGCACCAACTAGGGTGGCAGCTAGCAGTAGAAGCCTCTTAGATAAAATATATGTAAATCAACCTGGATCATTTACTAATTGCCTTACTTTTGATGCTCATCATATATCTGACCACAAGATGGTCTCGTGCACAATGCTGATTCCGCCTTATCAAATGAAGCAGAAGTACATATCGTTACGTGACTTCACTAATTTCGATGAGGCATTGTTTCTACGGGACCTTTATGATCTTCCATTTGATGATATATTCCATCTACAGTCAATAGACGAGTTCCTCAATAATTTGATAACTGAACTCTTCAATAAACATTCTCCGTCAAAAATTACACGAGTCAATAAACCTCACGATCCATGGCTTACTTATGGGCTTACGCAAATATTTAAAGAAAGAGATGCTGCTCTGTCTAACCATAAAGCCAATAAAACTCGGGAAAGCTTCTGCTATTATAAGGAGTTGAGGAATTTCGGTCTAGCTTCCTTGCGGGGTGAAAAAGAAGCTTATTTCTCACATCTGCAAAGATGTAGGCAGTCTAAAAAAACCTGGGCTGCATTGGAGAGTATCAATCTTAATTTTTCTTCGAGGCCTCTGATACCTGATACTCTCAATGATGCACACTTGATCAATGATTATTTCACAACTAAAGCACAGCACAGCTAAACTTCGCCATAATAAATCGCACTCTGTATCTTTGTAAATAAAGACGATATTATTATTATAAGCACAATGCTTAAATATTAAAAGTATCGCGAGCAACCCAAATCAATGTCATGCTATTTTTTAAAAAAATACTGGATAACAGTATCCGTATCTACGTACATGTAGGGTCTGAAAACAACTGTAAATCATGTGATATTCACCACAGGACATACTAAATACGTTCCACTCTTTTATAATTTTTTAGAACAATATCATTTCTTTCAGTGCTAATATGCTCTAGTTTAAAAATAAAGCCGTTGCGGACCCATGCTCATATGGAAATTACGTTTTCAAATTGACCAAGGATTAGATGGTTAAAGTTTGTGTACATACTTTATTAACACCCTGCATGTATAAAACAAACAAAGCAAACCCACAAATAAAGCATAAAATAATAAACAGGCGGCATAATAAGATATACTTACAAGAAATTCTGTAAGTTTAGCCAATTATGTATGGAACCAGTATTTCCGGAGATCCGACACCGATCTTGTATTTAACAAAACACACATTTAAGTCTACAGCCTGTCTGGTCGAGTACGAGTTAAAACTGCTTAAAAACCAATTTTTGGGAGTGGTCGTATATGCAGACATTTCGTATAAAAATAATTATGGTAGAGTTAAGATCTTAAGATGCTTAAAAATATTTGTACAAATACGCCTACTGCTGACTCTTTTCTGTGCCAAAAATACTTGCTGGACGGTTGTGGGCAAACAGAAGCAGTCGTGTTTTAACTTGAGAATAGTAAACAGAAGCCATCTGTGGTTGGGAGTTTATCATTGAAGCAATATCTACATAGTGGTCTGTATCTAGATATAAGCCCAAGAATTTTACTTGCGTCTCAAGGCACATCATTAAAAGCGATGTCTAATGCCACACATTTCTTCTGGATGTGATGAAATTGGACAACTGATGTTTTTTCAGAATTTAGGTATGCAATTAATAACTTATTGCCCACACCGGCAGATTACCGGTTTCACTTAGGACTGGTATATAAAAAAGAGATTCATAGTACATTGGAAATGTTGGGGCTTACAGATAGTATGAAAAATCTATCACTCAAATCTCGAGTCTTACGATATGGCATTAAAACCCTAAGAACAACTTTTTTGGTGCAAAACTGATACGAAGGCCCCCCTGTAGTTAACTTTCAGTTTCGATAAAACAACTGTAATTGCCAACAGAAGCGTTTTAATGTTCAGCTTAGAATTGAAAGATGTATTGTTAATGTAGCGTAATTAAGTGTATATTAATGGGTGTTGTCCACGCAATGTATATGTCAACTTTTTCTGAAATTGCGGAAGAAGAATCGGTGCGTTACGGATGCATAGATGCCATTTCCGCGTATATGACTACTTGCCGTGTTGGTTAATGACAGTAATTCAGCACCTTTTGTAGATATCTCTTCAAATAGGAAGGATTTATGGTTATTAAAAAACTGGGCATTTGATTATACGGGATGTAGGAAGCAACTATTTGCTGGTGAAGAATAGGAAGTATACTTTGATATTTTCACCTAACCTAGGACTATGTTATGCCTATTCGAGTTATTCTGATCAATAATAAACCATTTAACTGTTGGAATGTAGGAAACAGATGTACTCGTATAAACACAATATACTTAAGATTGATTTATGGGACAGTTAATATAAATGGTTGAATGAATACTTTCACCCACGTTATACCATGATTGTTGAAAATGAAAAACAGAAAAACGGAGCTTAGTACCTATTCTCCATCCCTGAACTGCTTGCAGATGCTTATTTGATAAACGCTGTTGACAGTCAAACAAATGGTCTATTTTAAATGTGGAAAGGCCACTTGTAACGGCATCAATTGGAGAAAACACTGAAAAAGTGAGACCTGCTGTGTAGGCCTAATCTATCAATTGCGACGCGCTTATAAAGCAAAAGGCTGGGAAGTTAACTAGAAGCATTATTGCGTTATTACGGTTGATGAGTTGAGGAACTATTCTTTGGTTGCTACTAGGCGTGAAAAAAAAATTTCTTGATTTACGCTGGTAATAGCGGCATTAAAGGTACTTGGAAAGCCTTAAAACAATTAAGTGTGTGGTCGCGACGTAAAACCTCAATTCCAGCTCATTTAAGCAATCCTGATGATCTAAATAATCACTTTGCATCGTATTCACAATGTGTTACATCTGTTGTTACATCTGTTTCCGACAAAGAAATCGAATATTATTTATCTAATGTTCATAATGCTAATTCAAGCTTCAAGTTCAGGATGGTAACTGTCGAAGAAGTGCACAACCATTTCGCATAGCTTACAATCAGATGCGTTTGGTGCTGATGACATTAATGCAAAAATGCTCAAATTGTGCAGCCCTTTCATTGATAAATATATAGCGCAGATTATCAACTGCTGCATAGAGAGGTCTTATTTTCCAATCCTATGGAAATCTGCTATTGGTATCCCTACCCCTAAAATAAATAATCCTAGGTGTCTCAAAATTTTTTGAAAAACATCTATGTATACAAATTTATGAATACATTTCAGTCCATGGTCTACTTCCTGACTATCAGTCTGGGTTCAGACCTGGAAGAAGTACAGAAACATCACAAGCTACGATAACCTCAGATATTTTAATGGCGTATGATCAATGTCTGTCTAGCGCTCTTGTCCTTTTGGATATTTCCAAGGCTTTTGACACCATCAATCATGAATTGTTGTGCTCAAACCTCAAATACTATGGTTTTACTGACCCCTCACTGTTTTTAATAAGGAGCTACTTACTTAGACGCTCCCAGAAAATTCATATTGATGGTTCCTATTCGGCAAGTACAGATATCTTGTCACGGGTGCCACAAGGATCCATACTTGGACCTTTGTTATACATAATATACACATCAGAAATCCTAAGAAAGATACAAAACGTCAAGGTACAATCGTACGCTGACGATATTCAAGTTTACCTTAGCTTTTCCATGAAAGACAACTGCAGCAGAACGTACGCTGAATGAAGGTACATCAGATTAGTTTGTACTACTTTCAGAAGAAATTTGACTAAAAGAATTTACTTAATAAGTAAATGCTTTTCTCCACTACGACCATGGTTTGTTTATCATTTTGTTGTCGAAAATAGCTATTGGAGCGTGTTTTTGTGGCAAAAAAGTTATTTCTTGAAGAAAGATAAGGAAATATCTCGTACTTATTTTAAATTGGAATTTAGTACATAGTTTGCGATTGATTTGACCAAACTTTCTGGGTAAAATAACTTGTAACACCTTATTACATAAATTAACCATGGTATATTCCACAGCAGAAAGAGTTGAAATTATCGAAATATTTTTCGGAAATAATCAGTGCGCTAGTAGAACAGCAGAAATATTTAATGAGCGACATGAGAACAGTAACGTGCATCGAAAATATGTTCTAGAACTTGTAGCTAAATTTCGGGAAACTGGGTCAGTCGTCAATAAAAAACGCAACATTGAAAATCCCATAAGGAAGGAAACAATAGAAGTGGGGGTTTTAGGGCAAGTTTAAGTAGATCCTACGTTAAGTACCCGCAAATTGGAGACTGTGTGTGGTATTAGTCGACGTACTGTCCAACGGATTCTAAAGACCCATAGTTTTTATCCGTATAAAATTCACCTGGTACAAGAACTTAATGAAGACGATTTTGATCGGCGATTACAATATGAGTGAACAAATTATAAACGTTGAACATTTTCTATTCAACACTTGCTTTTCCGACGAATGTTCCTTTTTCTTAAATGGCGTAGTAAATCGTCATAACTGCCGATATTGGTCCCATTCTAATCCCAGAATTTATCATGAGGTTCATACGCAGCAGCCACAAAAATTAAATGTTTGGACTGGTATTTTTGGCGATCATTTAGTTACTCCTTTTTTATTACCTGGAAATTTGACCGGTGAAATGTATTTGGAATTACTGGAAGATGCCACAGATCCGGCATTAACAGTCATAATTGAAAATCAGAATGATCGGCGGTACATTGCGAATAGGTTGATGTTCCAACAGGATGGTGCCCCACCACATTACGCATTACGTGTTTGACAATATTTAGATCAGGCGTTTCCAGGTCGATGGATTGGTAGAAGAGGTGCCACTGAATGGCCCCCAAGATCGCCAGATTTATCACCTTTGGATTTCCTTATGTGAGTTCATTTAAAAAGCAAAATCTATGCTACTCAGCCAACATTATTAGAAGACCTGCGACAAAGAATTGTGAATGAGTGCCTTCAAATTACTCCTCAAATATTGCAAAATGTGTGGAAACGATTTGAGCAAAATCGTTTTTATTGCATGGAACGTCATTGTGTCCATTTTCAACATTTACTTGCCTAACGGGTCAGTTCATTCTTCATTTTTAAATTACTTTGCTGCCAAACGTATTGATCTCCACTAATGATGATGTATCAGTTTTATTTAAGCTACAAATCAATAAATCTTCAAAACTACTGCACTGAAGTACATTAATTTTATATCATTATAAAGGGAATTGAAAGACCTTTAAAATAAGGTATCACTAGACCCCCCTTTCCATTTAAGATTTTGGGGGTTGTGTCACCCCCGTGCTAACGTGATTTTTTTCCAAACTTGTGTCCCCCTAGAAAACAAAATCGACGGGTCTGAGCGTTTTTCCAAAAAAAAAAAAAACTAAGCTGCCAGTAAATGCGTCTGTTTCGTTTCCGATGCGCCACCCTGTATGTATACTTTTTCTGTCTACCTCTTCGATTTTGACATATGTAATTACATATTATTTAATAACAAATTCAATTAATCGATTATTTGGGTGCTCCTCTCCAGTGGTTGAGTAGAGTAGCTGTCAGCTACACTTCGCCACAGGTATCATATATATATTTTTTATATTATACTGAATTTTCTTTGGAAATAAAAGACGGTTTATTATTATTATTATTATTATTATTATATCCTTTGAAGGATCCTCTGCATTGCTCTGACTAGCAATAAACGTATTTGTCCCACATTCGTATTTACAGAGTGACGAATTGAACAAGTCAGTGCAAGGTAGCGAAGCTCTGAGACTGCCACTCTCAGGTTTTTACAAGTTCAAAATGTATTGCGACTACAAAGCGAATACCAATATCCTACAACTTACACAATTTTATAAACATATATAATAAATGTTTTACTTAATAGGTACTTTTATAAATAATGTATATGTTTTGATATTATAAGATAGTATGATGTAAGTAAATAGGTACTATCAGTGTATGTGTTGAGATCCACTATCGTGGACCCCCATATTCATTTCATGGACCCCCAAATTTTTTTTCGCTGACGTAGACCCCTTGCAGGTTATCATAGACCCCTAGGGGTCGATATAGACCACTTTGGGAATCAATGCTCTAAACAAAAGCAATGCTGTTGATTGAGTAGCCAAATAAAACATATAAATTAAACGTAGCTTTACCACAAATGGGTCAGTGGTGGAATATAGGCATTAACTTTCGTAGTTTAAATGTGTGTTCCTAATTACGGTAAAGCGCTAAAGCTGCCAAATAATTTTTTTGTGAATTTTGCTCAAAGCGAGTTAGCCCACTTTAATGACGCCATTTCGAAACCTATTCATAGACTGCCGGGCTAAAACATGAAATAAGTGAGTACAGCGATAGATTTATGGAATAACACAACTACATATTTCACTTTGTGTACATTTTGGTTTGGAACAAACATCATTTCTAGCCTGTCCTATACTTTAAGCTTTTGTTGCTACATTTATCAGTTTCGTTTTCAACAATTGTTTGTCGTGAATGTATTTATTCTTAATCCTCTTCAATAAGAGAGTTACAACACGCACAGTTTTACATATCCGAGTTATTGCTTCAGAGTTACAAATCGTTTATTTTTATAAATACGATTGCAAAATGACCGTATCGTTATCAACTGAAGTGCTTGTATTCTGCGCTTTACTTATTTTCTGTACAAGTCCGCTTAACAAACTGAAATTTGAGGTAATGAAGTTGACGCATGAATACTCTATTTAAGCCTTAAAGTGGCAGTGGGAAATTTCATGATGGCGGCTTGGTGTCGTATTTTAAAATGGGGAACTGGCAGGTTGTCAGAGTTGAGCGTTTTGTACATCGATGCACTTATAACTCAACAGTTATGTTACATCAATCTTCTTCTCTTGAAAGGGTCTATCCGAATATGTGTATGGAACATTTAATTCGAAAAACTGTCAAAATTCTTCATTTTTTTTTAATGTGAATGCTCCTGATTTTATTGCACCTCAGATATACCCTACCAAAAAAAGAACATTGACATACTATAACGGTTTGATGATTATTTGTCGACAATATGAGCCATTAAATGTACAAACCGCCCGTAAGACCCTCATTTTGGAAGATTATGTATTCCGGGGTTATAAACTGCCCATATAGAGCTTAGAGTATAATATCGCATGACCCCCCATTCCGTTAAAAAAAATATTTCATGATGGGTCTAGCCGCTAAAATATAGTATTCTTGTGTCAATCACATCACACCGAATTGCATCTTGCTAGCTTGACCAGTTTAAAATATAATTAACGGATACCTTTCCGAAAGACTATAAAAATAAGTGTTGCCTCACTGCCCTCTCAACAGAAACAAAAGGTGCAACAAATGAACTCGCATCTATACTAAGTGACGTATAAATCCGAACACCCAGTTTAAATGGTTTTATTTTAATAAAAGTTGGTGAATGTATTTATCTTACTGTAAATAACAAGTGAAAAAATTTTCAGCCTTATCAGTTGGACATTCCGGTTTTTATACTGCTTTTTTTTAATTCACTAACGCTCTAAAAATGAATATTTCAGCCGCAGTAAAGAATCAACATTGGCGGATTTTGGTTCTTGACATCCTTTACGATCGGTTACGATGCCGAGTACGGAGACCTGTACGATTTCGTCAACTTAGTGAGTTTGATAGGGGCTGTATAGTGGTACTTCGGGAAGCTGGACTTTCTTTTCGGGGAATTGCAGTTAGAGTGCAAAGAAGTGTAGACACTGTGGTTAGGTGTTGTCAGGCATGGCTTCGAGAAGGCCGTACGCAAAGGGCAAGGGGCACTGGACGCCGCCGTAGAACAACAGACCGTCAAGATCGCCGCCTAAGATTATTGGCCTTAAGGGACCGTTTCTCCACTACCAGGTCCATTGCAAATGAATGGTTTGCAGAACACGGAAGACCTATTGGCATGCGAAGTGTTTACCGACGAATGAGAAGTTTTGGCTTGTTTTCATACCGGCCACACTGGGTCCTCGCTTTAACTCGAGAACACCGACGTAATCGCCTTGAGTGGTGCAGACAACGGTCACTCTGGGATCAGGAATGGAACAGTATTGTCATTAGTGACGAGTCTCGATTTTGTTTAGGCATGCACGATGGTCGTGCCAGGGTTAGAAGGCGACATGGTGAAAGGAGGAATCCACAGTTTTTTGTTGAAAGACATGTTCATCACACTGTTGGAGTTATGGTTTGGGGTGCTATAGCTTATGGTTCCAGGTCACATTTAATCTTCATCAGAGGTAATATGAACGCGCAGAGTTATATCCACGAAGTTCTAGAACCCCATCTTTTACCCTATCTTGACACCCTGGCAGATCCAACTTTCCAACAAGATAATGCCCGACCACATGTTGCAAGAGTCACAATAGACTTCTTTCAACATAATGATGTCACATTGTTACCATGGCCACCAAGATCTCCCGACTTATCCCCAATTGAGCACGTGTGGGATATGATGGGTAGGAGATTGCTCAATTTGCAACGTCCTCCTCAGACTCTAGAAGCACTTCGAGAGGAGTTGGTGGTTGCCTGGAATGAGATACCACAGAAGGACATTGACCACCTGATCAGAAGCATGCCTAGTCGCGTTGGAGAATGCGTAGCACATAAGGGTGCATCCACACATTATTAAAGGTCAAAGGGCTTTAAAGCAGTGCAATCATTTTGAAATTTTTATCATTTACTTATTATGCTTCATTAAGTACTTATACAAAATTTTATTAAAATAAAACCATTTAAACTGGGTGTTCGGATTTATATGTCACTTAGTATATAATGAGATTTTCATTATATAATGGTCTCTGCCTTAGAGTGCTTTATTATTGATTTCAAGTAACAAGTGTTGCGATCATGCTCTCCTCAAAAAAATAGTAACTTGAGCATTCGGAAATAGGTAGGTATATTTTGGACAAAAATGAGAAAATTTCGCTCTCAAATAATAACACTGAAATAAACGCAACAATGTTGATAAAAGCTTGAAATACATAGGTTCTCGAATATTAAGTAAATTTATCAAGTTACCTTATAGAACGATTTTTTCTTAAGATATCTCTTGTAACATTGACATTAGGACAAACTTTACATTTTCCCATGTTATTTCAGTTTTTGTGACGGCTAGTTCATAAAACTTTTTGACAAACCAATCATCCACCACCGAAATCGTAGACTTGAAACTTTATGAATTCCTAGTTTTCTACATATTGGTGTCTCCTCACATTATTTTATTTATACAATAAACTTAATCATCCAAATATCTAGGAAGAGTCCTAATGAAGTTGAAGTATTGAATACGCTTTTCTTAGTATTAAATATTTCAACACAAAATTAGCTTCGCCCTAGGAAATGCAGAAGGATACCCCCGAAAAGTTACGGAACTACGTCCACTTTCTGTTATAGTTATTCTACTCCCTCGTCAAGAATTTGCCGCCAGTATACTTGAATTCTATTCACTTCCCTATTGTCCATGGCAATGAACGCTAGGAATTATAAACGCAACCAACCTTGGTACAGATGTGCTCCGCCAATGACACTACTTTCATTTTTTCAACCGGCGAACTTGACTGTTTCCCAAGGCTGTAGCGAATTCAGAAGCTATCTTCGACGTGTTTCGAGACAATAGTCATCCAGTTTCCGTTGATAGTCCAAGCAATATACTCGTAGTAAAATCGTTGGGACAAAATCTAAGGTGACACCTGTATTGAATAGAAATTTGATATGAGAAGAACAATGGCGCCCATACAGCAAAATCCAAGGGGAGTAGATTTTTGGTCCCAGAATACATGAATATTGAAAATCAAAAGACATTCAATTTAATAAAAAAAAAACATGAAGTTCCTAATGATGGGCTAGAAATTAAACGGCTTGATGCATTTTGACACAAGGGGGTGTCTCTAGATTTGACTTGAATGTGCGAGTAGCACTGTGTATACTAAAATTTTATAAAAGAAAAGCGGTGGATTTTAAACGCAATCTTCAACTTTCAGATTTCTATGTCTTCTATGTCATGAGTTATAGCCCAAACAGCTTGATGGACTTTGTATTTAAGGTGACCTTAGATTTGTCGTGGTAGCACAATTTATTGGTTTCTCATTCGTTTCAGTTACTTCGGTCAGATTGTTTGCATTTTTTAAAAATGTACATGTCTTTCTTTATGGGCCCCACGATTGATATATAGTAATTTTTGCGGGTGCATTGAGAACCTACTACTTATTCCCTATCAGGTTACTTTACCTCTCAAGCGGAAGCCGCCCATTGACAAGTTATTTGTATTTTCAAAGGATATTTCATTGCTGGCAGAATGCATGTCAGCTCGTTTACATTCTGAAACATCAAAATCAGACAAATAAGTGATGCCAAAAAAAAAGCGGTAAAAATAAGCTGTCCATTACTTGGTCAACGTTATCATTTAATTTTGAATCACATTTTTGTTTTTCTTGTACTTATTTTATTTACAAAGTATTACACTCTTATGCAAATGGAATACAGGGTTATCCAAATTAAGTGTCCACCATTAGTAACTTTGTTATTAGTGAAAATACAAAGTTGTTTGAATTAGCAAACTAGTAGCATTTTTAACGCTGGTAAAAATGAGAAATAAAAAAAAACAATTGAGAGTCGTTATTTTGATTTTTTTCAGTAAAATAACATTTTTTTAAATGGAAACCCCTGTATATTATATTTTTTTCTGTTAAAGCATCAAATTTTAAACAAAAAAGCTCACAATAACTTTTCTCCTAGGTTACAAATTGTTGAAGTTATGGCCTCCAATCTGAAACAATTAAATTGTATCGACAAACTTTATTTTCAACATCAACTTATATAACTTACAAAATACAATAACAATTTTTTTTAAAGAAGATGCTCGAAAACACCACCTTGTTCTTCAATACATTTTTGGGCACGTTTTTCAACTGCTCGAACTGTGTTATGTATGGTCCTACCATCTATCTGGGTTATCTTTTCCCTAACTGCAGTCTTTAACGCGTCAAGGTTATCGTACCTTCGCTTGTAAATTTGGTTCTTTAAGTAATCAAGTGGGTTTAGATCTGGTGATCTGGGAGGCCACTGTATTGGGCCATTTGTTCCTATCCACTGATCATTAAAAGTAGTACTTAGAAAATGATAAGTACCTCTGGAGTTGTGCGCCATCTTGCTGAAAATGCAGATGATGTCTACTTATAAGATCCAATTCGTCTAAGAAATTAGTCAGAATTTCTGACATAAATTCCACATATCTTTCACCAGTTAGGGTTCCCTCATAAAAGAACGGGCCAACAATTTTTGAACCAATTATACCACACCAAACGTTGAAACTGAAACGGACTTGTGGGCCTCTTGGATGTACTAACAAAAGATTTTCTCTTGACCAATAATGGTGGTTTTTTCTATTAAACATTCCAGAATTTGAAAAATTTGATTCATCTGTCCATAAAAGGTAACGAAAGTTATTTACATTTTGGCGACAGAAGCTAAGATACCAATGGCAAAAAACAAGTCTTCTCTCTGGATCCCCTGCCAAAAGCGTTTGAACTGGTCGGTACTTATACGGAATAAATTTGTATTTTTTTAAAATCCTTTGAACAGTACCATAACTGAAATTAGAGTCCTTGAGAATATCGGCTATTGAATTCTCACGATAAGCTTCAAAATATCCAATAACTGCAATTTCCGTGGCCTCGCTTATTATGAATTCTTTTTTTGCCCTTGTTTTAGCAAAAACATTTTCGTTGCCCCTAAATTTTCGATAAAGTCTCAGAAAATATTGTTCATACGGTTGAATGCGAGCGGGATATAATTCACTGTAGTATTCTCTTGCTCTCAAGGAGGATTTTCTCCACACTAAATAGCATTCTAACATATCACACTTTTCTTCATGGGAGAACATTTTTCTTTAAATTAATGACACAATAAAGCTTATAAACAAGTATTTACACTAATGTTTGACATTATTTGATTTTATCATTGTTTTCCAAAGCCTTCTAGTTGCGAGTATGTCCAGTTTAACAATTTGTCGCTTATCTTAATGCTGTAAAATCGCGAACGCCATGTTGTTCTCATAGCCGTCTTAATATTATAATACTGCAAATAATTAAAAATATTTATCGTTATTTTGACTTTATTTTTGACTTTAGCGGAAAAGTCATTATGAACTTTTTTGTTTAAAATTTGATGCTTTAACAGAAAAAAATATAATATACAGGGGTTTCCATTTAAAAAAATGTTATTTTACTGAAAAAAATCAAAATAACGACTCTTAATTGTTTTTTTTTATTTCTCATTTTTACCAGTGTTAAAAATGCTACTAGTTTGCTAATTCAAACAACTTTGTATTTTCACTAATAACAAAGTTACTAAAGGTGGACACTTAATTTGGATAACCCTGTATAACGTATACACAATGATGAAGTCGAATGTATTAACTTTGTACTTTCCACGCATTGTTATAAGGTGTAAACCTGAAACAATTCAGATACACAGCATCTATGAGCGTCATTAAAGTGACAAGAAAAACGTCGAATACCAAAACTTGGGGTTTTTCAGAAAGTGGCCAATCCTAAAAACTTTTTAACTACACGCTATTGTTATCGCATTATCATAAAATATCAAAGACGGATTATAGGGGCGTTCTGAATTTTTTCAAATTTCGTTCACATTTCTGTCGCCACTGACACTGGAGTGATATTCAACACCTACGAGGCTATTTTGTCCTTTGTGCGCAGGCATTTTTTTAGATAACTTTAGGCTGCTTGAAATGTGCAAAATGATACAAATAACTTTGGCGATCAATTAATGGACTAATTATTTTCTGCAACCAGTGATAGTGAGAGTTCGTTCATTTACCTTTTTTTTTCTCAACTGGAAGAATATTGTTAAATGTAACTCCTAAACCTCATCCTGCGGTTCTCTGGCTAAGCAATTTTCATATTTTACTGGCTACCAATTGAAGCATCAAATTGGTGGCATCTGTGCTTCGGAAAATGGAGCGGGCTTGCATCCTCTCATAAATAAGATTCTTCATGAAAGAAAAAGGAGTTTCCGGTCTATTTATATTTCCCACGCTGCGCCGTCTGTCGAGGAAGTATTGTAATCTCGAAAAACCTCTAAGATTTTTACATGCTATATGACACCATGTTACTCATTTCCGTCGGTCTGTTTGAGGTCTGTCCTCAAATCCTTGGCCCATCGATAACTTCGAAGGTACTGTTTGGATTTCACTAGTATGTCAAGGACGAAACAGGTTTGTAGATTTGGTAATCGGTCGAGTGGTGGCGAAGAAAAAGGCAAAAACGAAACAAATAAAAATGGCTCTAACTTTGTCTTTGACCTTTCAGAAAATCCTGATAATTTTTGAAAATTTGTTTACGGGTAAAAAATGAGGGATGGGTGAGAGTTTTCAAAGTTTATTCAAATTCAAAAACCAATATAACTTACAAATTAAAAACAACCTTCAGTACAATTTAAATAAAAAACAGTTCCAAAAATACATGAGCTTGTATGCTCTTGCTACCCCGAATAACCAAGATTGCAACAGAAATCTAAGCAAAGATACTAGCATCAGATCTAGAACCAACAAGTAACGGTATATGAATTGTGAAAAATTCTGTATACTTTCTAATCTTGTCGTCACAAATCCTAAATTACGTGTCTGAATAAACAAATCTAAAATGCATAACAATAGCACAGAAGCCTACTAAAAACACTCAGAAGTATAAACATAGAATACATAAAATATGAATATCTGAAATATGATAATATAGGGATATTTCGAGTAAGGTCAAACTATGTTGATTAAACAATAAAAATTTTGCCTAAAGGTTAAGCAGAGAAACAAGAGTACTAGAATTTACTACAAAAGAATAGACACCTAAGCTATAAGCTTGTGTGTGTCATACAATATACAAATTCAATCCATGGCTAATGGTCATAAAGTATATTATGAGCAAATGTATATAAAAAAAAACATTAGATAGAAACGAAATGACTGAGTTGAGTCAAGCTACAGTCGATGTAAGCATGTCAAAGTTATTTAAGATGAACTTCTTAATTCTTTTTTTGAAACTATACTTCGAGAGGATTTTATATTGTAGGGGTAATTTATTATACAACCTAATACCATCAAACTTTATGCATTTTTGGCAAACAGATTCATTCACTCTTTTATAAGTTTAACTTATATTTATTTTAGTTCTTGTTTCATAAGCGTGGCTGGTTGGAACAATGTTTCTGGAGTGAACAAATTTCAGAGCAGCAAAAATGTATAAACCTCTTAATATTCAAAAGATCATTTTCAATGTAAACAAATCTGCTACTTGACCTACATGCGATACGAAAAATAGTCCTGACAATATAATTTTGTGTGGTTTGTAGTACTTTTAAAGTACTAGTGTATGCGGCTCCCCATATACTTATCCCGTAAGTTAGTAGAGACCCCACAAACAAGTTATATATTGAGAGAAGACTCTTTCTGCTTAAAATATTACTAAGAATGAAAAACTTATGAATAATTCTCCTTAATTTCGATGCTAAAAGCTCGGCATGACTCTGCCATTTTAAATTACTGTCAACGGTGATTCCTAAGTATCTAATAACTCCAACTCTTTCGACAGTGTCAGCACTATCATTTATAATTAATGTTCGTTGGTGTAATGGCCTGCCTGCTTTGGTTGGAGAAAACGTTACATACTTAGTTTTAGAGATATTAAGTTTAAGCAAATTGTTATCCAAACAGCATTTGACTTTATTTAATGTCAACTCGGCATTCCGAATTGCGTCATCCCATGAATGACCAGTGCAAACTAAAACAGTATCGTCTGCATATGACATCATTTTACAGTTGAAATTGCATTGAAGTAGTTCATTGTATTACAATTTTTTGATATTAGTATGCTAATCCATTTCCGTCTGATAATTCTAGGCGGAGCTACAGGAAAAAATGTCAAAAATCATTCATACATAGTTTTTTGACCATTTAGGGGCTCCTAGTTATTTTCAAAAAAGTGTAGGGGCTGGGGCCATAGGGGGTGAGCGAGAGTATACCTCAATTTTTTGTTCGTAGTAAATTCATGCGCTTGCGCTTACGACACCCGTAGGTTTGCTCTCAAAACGTGGAGAAATATCAAATGGACGTTTGGCGTGTAGGTCGTGCCTGTCGAACGCTTCGCACTTACCCCGGTGCCCACAAAACTCTGTCTGCAACTGCCGCCTAACCTCTCATCACCACACTGCTCGAGCTGGACAGCATAGGACGGCTGACGTTGCCAGAATGGGTGGGACTATGGACCTGTTTGGCTCACTTGATCCACTTATTGCTTTTTTTTTGTGTTATGCATGTTCGTAATTGACTATTTATAATAATAGTCCTTTATGCATTGATGACGGCGTTGCGTGTGAAGTGCAGAGTCCTGACATCATTTTTTTGCTAAAGAATAAAGGCCAAACATTCTGATGCATCAAATGTCCTTACCTCTGAATTTGATCCAACTACTGCTAGATTACCTGGATTATATTTCTATGACATTGCTACGTTTTTCTGTGAACAGTGCTCGTTTCGAAAGCAGCTTCTCACGCGAAACGAAGCGGTCTAATTTCCCAAATTGTTTACAATACTCTATTCTAGAACAATTTACCGGCTCAGATGAGAGATGATTAACTGTGAAAAGATGTGACAAAAGAAGACGGTTCGGTCTTCTTCACACTTATTTTCTAATAATCTAGTGACTTAGCTAGGCATATACTGTACTCAACTATTGAACTGGATTATTTCTATCTTACTACAGATGTATCTTCTGATTTATATTTTCCTACGGAGTCTCCATTCATGTGAGTTCCTTTGGACTGCAATAAGAATTAAAAAACGTTAGCTTGACATACGTGCAATACCTGCTTTACTTTCTGTTACAAACAGTTCATCGATTTATACGATGCATTTACTACTATCTTACGTAAATTTGATCATGTATCAGCGAAATATCTCATTCTAAACTGGTTAAAATGACATGGTCAAGTATGACTATTCAGTTTTTGTTCACAAATTGCTGCTCACGTATAAACCTTATTACTTGAGGGAAAAAATTTCATTTAATAATGATGTTCTCTGTAGAACCCTCAGAGAAAATAATATTAGAATAACCCTGCATACGTCTACACTTTTTAAACGCAGTTTTTCTTACAATCTTGCTATTACTTATAATGACCTTCCTAAAGTATATAAACAATTTTCATTACCTGTCTTTCGACAAAAAGTTAAAACATTATTACTCAACCCTCCAAACATATAATTTACGTAATCATTCGTTTTTTTTTTATTACATCTTTAATTCAGATTAATAATTTTTTGGTGTACTTGGGTTTTGAAAGTATGCCTTTTTCTCTTTTTTTAAATTTTACTTTCGATGTAATGAACCAAATCGGTTTGTGGATAGTGTATACTTTTGAACATCTGCTAGAGACTATATGGTTAAGTGTAAGAGTAGTAGCATGCTAAACTTCGCCATGTAAGTCTAACATTTGGCTATACTACAATATAATTGTGGATAAATAAAGACGTCTATTATTATTATTATCTACCCCTACTTATGTTTTTCTGGACAGGCCAAATTAGAAAGCTGAAATTCAGAGGCAAAAAGTTGATGCATGAGTACTACATTTTTGCGTAAACGTGGCAGATCAAAATTTCAAAATTGACAGACAACGGCATTCGAACCCTTAGCGGCAATGTTTAAGGTATCATCAGGTAACACTAAGCGGATCCTGACATATACCCTCCATGTGATGCCCCAGCTGTGTACTCGTAGTACTCGTTGTCGCATACTATATACGTATGGTAGTTACCCTGGACGATAATATAAACTATCGATTATTCATATTCATATTCCCAGAAGTCGACGTCAAGCCGAAACCGGGTGATAGGCAATGTCATAACAGCTATCAGAAAAATATTTAAAAAATCTTTCCTTCCTTACGAAGACGTGGTGCTAGGAGCTGTCGAAGAAGACCCGAGTACTTCAGTGCGTGCAATAGAACTAAAAACAGGTGTGCCCAAAAGTACAGCCCATAGAATCTTGCAAAAAAACGTGCTCCATCCATACCACGTACAGCGTGTTCAACCTCTCCTGCCCCGGGATTATGAGCCCCTAGTTGCTTTTTGTCGCACAATGTTAGAAAGACACAGGAAAGATCCACAGTTCTTTGAAAAAATTTTATGGTCGGATGAGACCACATTTAAGAAAGATGGGTACATGGACCTGCATAACTTACACGAGTGGCACGTAGCAAACCCACATTTGATGAGAGAAGATAAATCTCAAGATAAACCATTGGACAGGAATTTTAAATGGTAAAATAATCGGTCCATTTGAGTTCCCAGAGGCTTTGACTGCTGAGGTTTACTTAGGTTTTTTGAAAAATCATGTACAAAATTTATTGGTGGACGTGCCACTGAGTATTTACAGGGACATGTGGTTTCAGCATGATGGCTGCCCAGCGCACTATGCAATCTCAGTGAGAGAGTATCTCGATCAAAACTTTCCAGGCAGATGGATAGGGCGGTCTGGTACAATACCGTGGCCAGCCCGATCACCTGATTTTAATCCGTTAGATTTTTTTACTGGGGAACTGTAAAATAAAAAGTGTATTCCAAGCCGATTCAAAATGTAGCTGAGCTACGGCAAAGACTATTGGAAGCAGCTGAGTTTTTTAATAACCGTGGATTCGCTCGTTTAATAACCCGATCTTTTTTAAGATGTCGAGCGTGTATTGCGGCTGAAGGAAAACAGTTTGAGCATTTGCTGTAAAGGTAAATCATCATCAGCAGCATTTTGATGCCCACTGTTGTGCAAACAGTTATCCTTAAGGGTCCTTGCGGGTTTTCATAATCGCTGTTTAATTAGTAAATTTTGAAAAAATTTGATCAGTTTTTTTTCAAATAAAAATTGTGCATAAGTTAACGAGTAATCTTCTAAGTGTTATACCATTTTGGAATCCTTATTAAATGCGCCAACTTTTAAGGTTACTTGCAAAACTCTCGTAGTACACTTTTTTCCACTACAGCCAGTTAAAGTTGAGCAAAGTTTTACTTTGGAATACTTGGTTGGGCAATAAGTGGCAATTTTTCCTGAACGAGAAAAGTTGGCAGTAAGGTTGAGACACCAGTTTGAAGATGCATTATTCATCATTACATTGTAAAAATAAAATCCAAAAAAAGTTAATGTTTGTAGTAACAGGAGTTGACAGACTGCCGTAGGGTGTGAAATTTCTCTATTTTTTTCAAAGACCTATAATTTTCAAAACACATACATACAATTTTTTTAAATATTTTTCTGATAGCTGTTATGACTTTGCCTATCACCCGGTTTCGGCTTGACGTCGACTTCTGAGACACATATGGCAAAAATGAAAACTTGTCATTTTTCATTTACACTTATAAAACAGCGAGATAAAAAATTAATTATGATTGCATTGTTAGCGGCCTCAAATAAGTGAGCAGCTAAAAGTATTACAATCGCTGAACAATTTTTTATGTTAGTATATTAATATATTTCCAACACCGGTAATTCCTGTCCTTAAAAATTTATGAATGATAGAGAAATGCTTTCAACACGCGCCCGTGCATCTACTCTCTGGCTTCAACGACCGGCGCTATGAACTAATTGTGTGGACCTGTTTGACGGACTTGATCCCTTTAGCTTCTCTGTTATACATGTTCGTAACTAACTTTTTTCTCAAAGGGCCTAATTTAAACATGCTGATGCTTTCGTCTGTCCGTCCAAAGACAGTTATCCATGGGCAGTGTCTCGCGCTTTATTGGCACTTCATCAGCATGATCTAGGCTTGATCTCTTGGATAATGAACAACAGCATAGCAACTATCCTCAATCCAGGAAATAAGGTCCATGTATTATTTCGATATTCGTGGGAAGTGCAGAATCAATCTACTTGTTGCCATTATTTTGATACAATTCAGCAAAACAACCTTTGTTGTGCTTGATACAATGTCGCATATAACACCTGCTATTCCCACCAGCTGAGCTGTTTTGTTGGCTATGATTTCATTGCCGATAAAAAGTTTAAATCAGTCAGAATACTATTAGAAGTCAAGTGAATTGACTATGACATTGGTGGTCATACTAGAATATAGGGTGCAAACGTTATGGTAGTCATTATTGAAATGGGTAATAGGGAGGATCAAAATAAATCATTTTTTTCTAAATGGCTTTATAGTTTACAACTTTAAGTGCTTTATATCGACCACAATCACCACAGTCTTACTAATTCTCATAATCTAATCTAAAACGTTTTTAAATTGGGTAATTAACAAATAAATGGCATTAAGTTAAGCCAAAATTTGTAGTCAGTAAGTAAGTTTCATTAAATCGAATATTTAAAACACACATGACAACAGCGCGTCGGTCATCATCACCCTTATCGAACCGGCAATCGATCGCAAACGGTAACAGTGCTTAGTATGTTGTTTTGTTTTTATTCGCGTACGTCGTCGTGTTGATTTACAATGTTCTCGAATCAAGAGTTCGCCGACATGTTGTTAGTTTACGGTAAAGCTCAAATGTATCGCGACAAATTTCGCCAACTGGTACACCCAGACAGGACATTTATGCAAGTATACCAAAGACTTCGAGATACAGGAAGTGTTCAGCCCACTAATATTCGCATTCGTGAAAGACAGGTTACTGTAGAGCAGGAGAAACAAATTTTAAATATCGTGGAAATCAATGCAGACATCAGCACTCGAGAATTAGGCCACCGCGTGGGACTATCGCAAACCATAGGCCATAGAATCCTACGGGAAAATTTGCTTTATCCCTACCATGTAAGTGCAGGCCCTGTTGCCAGAAGACTATCCTCGCAGACTAACATTGTGTTAGTGGTTTTTGCACAAAAACATTGAAAACCCGGATTTTTTTAAAAACATTCTAGCGGCGGACAAATGTACTTTTACGCGAGACGGGATATAAAATTTCCATAATACTCACACGTGGGTCCAAGAAAATCCTCAAACCATTCGTGGAGGTCGTAATGAAGCTTGTGTGGAAAGTAGAGGACGACATTTTGAACACCTTTAAATACAAAAAAGTGCAGTGTGGGTTTTTAAAAGAAAAACAGTGTATGTATCAAAATTGCGTTCCCTATTTATAAGTGGATTTTTTTAATACGACCAATAAACTTTCACACACCAGGTGAAGCGCTGAGACAGTTAGAGGTAAGTCCGTTGTTTTTTAATTGTTTGAATTTTACGAGTACATATCAAATAATGGAATAATACCTAAGAGCCAAAAATAACAAACTCCATCTTTATTTACGCTGCGTTCCGTCGTAATTTTCGTCTGCCATTGCGGCGTTGTCAGATTTTATTTTACTTAAAAGTCGCTTTTTTCTAAAAAAATTGCCGTTTTGACCCCCATGTTGTATAAAACTTTTTGATTCATTTAAACCCCTCTATCGCCCATTCAAATATTGACTATCGTAACGTTTGCACCGTGTATAGCTCACTAACGTAACAAATTAGTGTTCATTATAAACTAATATAAAATTCAGGATATTCTTTATTGACTTCGTAGATCACTCTAAATCATCTCAAACACGATGAGAGCTGGTCTACTTTATGCTTTAACTTTTCGCAGAAAGTACGACTACTCAATTATGAATATGTAGTTTGAATTGAAATTTCTCATGAAAGCTGGGTTTATCTCCTTATTAACTTTAGAGCAGGTCAATGGAGGCCTGTAAGTGTGCATAAATTATCAGCGGTACTGGTGCCATTACACATGGATATGCAGTAACATAAAAATTAATTTGCTACAACCAACTCGAGAAAGCATTTTGATGTACCGATACTCTCAATCGAGCAGCCTCGATGATTGAGTCTGAAGAATCGAAAGATATTATACCTTTACATCTATTTGTATAGAGCCGTTTTCAGAAACTTGCATTTTGAATTCTATGACATCAAGATTAGATTACATTCAAAGCAAGGTCCTTGTATAGAACTTGGTTGTCTGTCATACCATGGGCATGCTGATTGTTATCTTAGGCCATTGCTTAGATAAAATTCTGTCAGCATCAAAAACGGCTACCATTTCGGTGGAGAAAATCGCATGTAGATTCTCCTGGTACAACGATGACAGAGGTTTTAGTGTTCCGTGTTTACCAGTTCTAGTCGGTGTTGCCGCGTACCATGTCAGCGGCCCCAGATATTCTTTGAGAACATTAAACTATTAATATTCCGACATGATTTAGTGTGTTTAGTGGAAACCAATAATAAAGAGAGCTATGTTTGTCCGACTAGAAAAAGCTTCGGACTAAAGTTATAATGGTGAAAGGCTATCAGTACTCACAATATACAAATGGACGGAATAATATTTACCTTTTCTATGTATTCTTCCTTCTGCTATTCTCCATATCTTGAATTCTTGAAGTAAGCAGTGTCAGGAACACCAGGAACCCACAACGCCAACTGAATCACAAAAAATTCCGTATCTGTCTCGGAAAAAACGGGACCAACCACCAGCAAAGTGACAACCAACGCTATCTAATCCGTCAATTCTGACATCGAGCTCTCAACTAGGGTTCTTCTACATACTGGGCGAGCTTTTATTGTATAATCGGTTGATAGTTCGGCACGGGTATCACGTATCTTGAAAAGTGACATTATGCCGATTTTTTTTACATTATGTAGGTTTTTCTACAAGATGTTAACTTAGCACTTAGTTGTACGTGTTGCCTGAACGTAATTAGGCTTTAGGTATCAAGGTTTGGCTCTGATTTTATGTAAAATCTGCTGAGAGATGGCATTACTGGAGGTCTAAGCTGTAAGTTGTATTTGTTAATGATAATTCCATTGGATTCTTGTCTCAAATACACTTAATCGAGATTCAAAGCTAGAAATTAATTGCGCAGCCACTTTTTCTTATACATTCTGGAAATTACATATATACAAAGTTGCTGAATTTCAAAAATAAGAGAGATCAGAAATAATTATATTCACTGTAGACTGACGAAGTAGCCATATACTTGCTAACAGTAATTACACACAACGCGGGCGCGGTGATTACTTCCCTTAATTCTCCTCAGTTTTTCGTAATTTATAACTTTGAACATAACCTCTCTTCAGAAACCACAACATATAAATAACCCGTCATATTCAACATATTCAGTAATGACTTTCTCACCCACCAAATATCACTGATTTTATAGACATGCAGATCAATACATATAATCATCCAGATCCGATCTTGCTATTCAACCTTCTTCTCAGAGATAAAAACTACAGACACGGATCAGTCAGCGTTACAAAGCTATGCAACCAATAATGCGTGTAGTTTATTTAGTTGAGGGATTCCTCCATAGATGGACGTTCACAACGATCCTAGGGAGCAAACGTGAAACGACTGTTTGCGCCCTAAAAACTACCTAGTCTGCAAGTTGACATCTTAGGCCCGTATCGTCAGTCGTCCCTACAATTGTAGGGCGCCTTTATGGCCGCCTTGATTGTCATAGTTTTCTATTTTTCCATGTCAGTGCTCTATTTTGAGGTTATGTCACAAACATCTATTTGCATCAAATTGTGCTTGCTTTTGAGTTATACATGTATATGTATATATACATGTATACAGGGTTATCCAAATTAAGTGTCCACCATTAGTAACTTTGTTATTAGTGAAAATACAAAGTTGTTTGAATTAGCAAACTAGTAGCATTTTTAACGCTGGTAAAAATGAGAAATAAAAAAAAACAATTGAGAGTCGTTATTTTGATTTTTTTCAGTAAAATAACATTTTTTTAAATAGAAACCCCTGTATATTATATTTTTTTCTGTTAAAGCATCAAATTTTAAACAAAAAAGCTTACAATAACTTTTCTCCTAGGTTACAAATTGTTGAAGTTATGGCCTCCAATCTGAAACAATTAAATTGTATCGACAAACTTTATTTTCAACATCAACTTATAATCTTACAAAATACAATAACAATTTTTTTTAAAGAAGATGCTCGAAAACACCACCTTGTTCTTCAATACATTTTTGGGCACGTTTTTCAACTGCTCGAACTGTCTTAAGTATGGTCCTACCATCTATCTGGGTTATCTTTTCCCTAACTGCAGTCTTTAACGCGTCAAGGTTATCGTACCTTCGCTTGTAAATTTGGTTCTTTAAGTAACCCCACAAGAAGTAATCAAGTGGGTTTAGATCTGGTGATCTGGGAGGCCACTGTATTGGGCCATTTGTTCCTATCCACTGATCATTAAAAGTAGTACTTAGAAAATGATAAGTACCTCTGGAGTTGTGGGCAGGTGCGCCATCTTGCTGAAAATGCAGATGATGTCTACTTATAAGATCCAATTCGTCTAAGAAATTAGTCAGAATTTCTGACATAAATTCCACATATCTTTCACCAGTTAGGGTTCCCTCATAAAAGAACGGGCCAACAATTTTTGAACCAATTATACCGCACCAAACGTTGAAACTGAAACGGACTTGTGGGCCTCTTGGATGTACTAACAAAAGATTTTCTCTTGACCAATAATGGTGGTTTTTTCTATTAAACATTCCAGAATTTGAAAAATTTTATCCATCTGTCCATAAAAGGTAACGAAAGTTATTTACATTTTGGCGACAGAAGCTAAGATACCAATGGCAAAAAACAAGTCTTCTCTCTGGATCCCCTGCCAAAAGCGTTTGAACTGGTCGGTACTTATACGGAATAAATTTGTATTTTTTTAAAATCCTTTGAACAGTACCATAACTGAAATTAGAGTCCTTGAGAATATCTGCTATTGAATTCTCACGATAAGCTTCAAAATATCCAATAACTGCAATTTCCGTGGCCTCGCTTATTATGAATTCTTTTTTTGCCCTTGTTTTAGCAAAAACATTTTCGTTCCCCCAAATTTTCGATAAAGTCTCAGAAAATATCGTTCATACGGTTGAATGCGAGCGGGATATAATTCACTGTAGTATTGTCTTGCTCTCAAGGAGGATTTTCTGCACACTAAATAGCATTCTAACATATCACACTTTTCTTCATGGGAGAACATTTTTCTTTAAATTAATGACACAATAAAGCTTATAAACAAGTATTTACACTAATGTTTGACATTATTTGATTTTATCATTGTTTTCCAAAGCCTTCTAGTTGCGAGTATGTCCAGTTTAACAATTTGTCGCTTATCTTAATGCTGTCAAATCGCGAACGCCATGTTGTTTTCATAGCCGTCTTAATATTATAATACTGCAAATAATTAAAAATATTTATCGTTATTTTGACTTTATTTTTGACTTTAGCGGAAAAGTCATTATGAACTTTTTTGTTTAAAATTTGATGCTTTAACAGAAAAAAATATAATATACAGGGGTTTCCATTTAAAAAAATGTTATTTTACTGAAAATAATCAAAATAACGACTCTCAATTTTTTTTTTATTTCTCATTTTTACCAGCGTTAAAAATGCTACTAGTTTGCTAATTCAAACAACTTTGTATTTTCACTAATAACAAAGTTACTAATGGTGGACACTTAATTTGGATAACCCTGTATATCATGTTTTATCAGCCTGAAATTTCCTACAATCTTAAAAGGAAAACATATCTTCACAATAGGAGAGCGCTGACGCTGACACGGGACAAGTGTAATCTAGAAATTTTTGAAGGATAGGAAGGAGTATGACAATCAAGGAGGCCATAAACGCGCCCTACAATTGTAGGGACGACGGACGGATTATAGGTTTTTTTGACGTTTTTTACATGATACCCGTGCCGATATTCCAAGTCCAAATAAGTTAGTTATATCGGAAACATGCATCTTTCTACAAGGTGATTCACAACTCAAGCATGCTAATTGAGAATTCGTCGTCAGAAGTGTCAGGTTAGATTAGGTTGGTTGTCACTTTGCTGGTGGTTTGCCCCCGTTTTTCTTTTCGATAACACATACACGCTAGATCGTAGCTGAATATTAAAGCTCTTATGACTGCAAAGAATATCTGCGGCCACTGGCAACACCGGCTAGAATTGCCCAACACAGAACACTAGAATCTCTTTAATGGTTGTGCTAGGGGTATCTATAGTCAACGCCAAACAAAGTGGCGTGCACGTCATCAAGGTGGGTGTGTTGAAAAATCTACATTGTTGCCAAACTTTTTGTAAAATAATAAAATTTATTATTTACATATCTAGGTTTATAAGCAATATTAACCTCAAATGAGAACAAAAATAATAGTATAATAAAATTATAGATCTGTACTTGCCTAATCATTAAGTATGACAATTATTGATCAGATGACACTATGAAACTACCATATTTAATTGATAGCTTAAAGGTACTGAATAAAAATCCAAATCGGGTCCTAATTTTATGCATGGTATTTATTTTACAGAATTCATACAGAAAAATGCATTCTAAAATTAGGTAAGCTACTGGTGTAAGCTTTTTCTGTACAATAAAGTTAGTCGGAGTTTCTTTCTTCAGCGCTGTCTGAATCTGAATCTTCATCACTCTCAAAGTTGATTATTAAAGGTTCGATGTCTGGTCGATCAAAAATTCGTTCTCTTTCATACCATTTAAAAATTTCTTGCTCAGTATGTCGAACACTATTTTTCCACATGTCTGGGGTAACCGTTTGTAGAGCCTCGTTCCACATATCCAAACAGTCTTTTTCACTGTTACCATCTCTACCAATATGTCTGTTATAGTAACCTTCTGCTATGCCCCAAATTAACTCAATAGGGTTAAATATACAATGGTAAGGAGGCAGTCGAAGAATTTTGTGCCCATGTTGTTCCGCCAATTCATCAATCACGTATATTTTAGGTGGTTTGTTTCTAAAAAAGCAGTTATTTTAAGAATAGGAATAAACAAAAGAAATATAAACTGTCGACCAAAATATATATAATTAAGAAGCATTATGTACCGAGCAACAATACTCAATAGCTCTGTTTTAAACATTGTGTTTAAAAATGGTATGTTTTGATTTGTCAACCAGTCTTGGATATTTTTTTTTGTCCATGCATTGTTGGGCACTTTGTTCAATATCATGCTGTGATAAGGGGCGTTATCCAGTATAATCATAGATGGACTCTCCAATTTTTCTAATAACTGATGTTGAAACCATTTCAAAAAATTGTCCTGGTTCATCTCTCCATGGTAATCGCTCAATTTTGTTTTCGAAGAAAATATCGCTTCACTACCCTCAATAAACCCATTTT